CCCCACCTGCAACTCCTGCAGGCTGTCGGCAGAAACAAAGGGAATGATGAACACCGGTGAAACTGCCCCTGTGGCTAACACTATACTACCAGCTTCTCATTTCAGTCCTTTTTGGATGTCTGCCCAGGTAAGCTGAAAAACAACCAACATTGTTTTGTTCACATCATTGTTTGGTCTATGTGTCGGTTTGTAACTTATTATGATCAGTATGTGTGTGTATGTGGTGTGAGCTACTGAAATAATCTTACCAGCTGAAACATCATCTCTGTAATTGCTCTGGTTCTTTAGAAAACGTACTTGCCGGTCTGACAGTAAGGTTCATATGYATCACAAAACCAATCTTGTATAATGTTGCTGCTTTTTAAATYATCATTACAACAAAGCATGCTACGAAGCTCCAGGTTGTAAACAGCAGAGAAGTGGCTGTGACGATGTGCTGAAATGGACGTGACAGGATCCGAAGGAGGTTCTTAAAGAGACAGAGGCCAATTTCAAGGTGTTTAGTAACATAAATGTATGAGAAGTCAAGTTTATCTTTGATTTAAACATACAGTACAGACCAAATGTTTGGACACAACTTCTCATTCAAAGAGTTTTCATTTTCATGACTATGAAAATTGTAGATTCACGCTAAAGGCATCAAAACTATAAATTAACACATGTGGAATTATATACTGAACAAAAAGTGTGRAACAACTGAAAATGTATCATATTCAAGGTTCTTCAAAGTAGCCACCTTTTGCTTTGATTATAGCTTTGCACACTTGACATTCTCTTGATGAGCTTCAAGAGGTAATCACCTGAAATGGTMTTCACTTCACAGGTGTGCCCTGTCAGGTTTAATAACTGGGATTTCTTGCCTTATAAATGGGGTTGGGACCATCAGTTGTGTTGTACAGAAGGTGGATACAGTACACAGCTGATAGTCCTACTGAATAGACTGTTAGAATTTGTATTTTGGCAAGAAAAAAGCAGCTAGGTGAAGAAAAATGAGTGGCCATCGTTACTTTAAGAAATGAAGGTCAGTCAGTCTGAAAAATTGGGAAAACTTTGAAAGTGTCCCCAATATAATATACACACATACAATTAAATGGGTTGGACAATGAAACTGAAACACCTGGTTTTAGACCACAACACCCCTTTCAGACAGCTTCCTCTTGCGTCCACGGTTAATCCTGTTGGATGTGGTTCATCCTTCTTGGTGGTATGCTGACATTACCCTGGATACTGTGGCTCTTGATACATCACAAAGACTTACTGTCTTGGTCACAGATGCTCCAACAAGACTTGCACCAACAATCTGTCCTCTTTTGAACTCTGGTATGTCACCCATAATACTGTGTGCATTGCAATATTTTGAGCAAAACTGTGCTCTTACCCTGCTAATTGAACCTTAATACTCTACTCTTACTGGTGCAATGTGCAATTAATGAAGATTGACCACCAGGCTGGTCCAATTTAGCCATAAAACCTCCCACACTAAGGTCCGTATTCAGAACTGACAATTTGCCCCACTTTAAATGAACCAGAGTTCGTTTCCAGCATTGGTCCAGACCTTTTATGCAGGTGTGAAT